TAGTAGTGTATATTGTAACACAAAATTTATATTTTGAATAAACACTGTTCTTTTTAACTTTTTATTTATCAAAGAATCCTGAAAAAGTATCACAGGTCCCAAAAAAACTATTAAGCAGCACAACAGTTTCAGCACTGATAATAAATCAGAATATTAGAATGATTTCTGAAGATCATGTGACACTGAAGACTGGAATAATGATGCTGAAAATACAGCTTTGGTCAAAGGAATAAATTATATATTAATATTAAAAGTATATTAAAATAGAAAACCGTTATTTTAAATTGCAATAATATTTCACAAAATTGCAGTTTTTGATCAAATAGTTAAAAAAAAAAAAGCTTCTTTAAAAAACATAAAAAATCTTTTGAACAGCAGTGTACCTCTGGCCCTGGCTTTAACACTTCTTCCACAGGTACCGTTAGTTTAGTTTTTTTGGGTAAATGAATGGATAAAACACAGTAAAGCATGTGTTGTGTGCAGCGGGGCAGCTGACGGGCATCTCGTCTCCGGAGATGTACCGCCAGTGTCTCCTCGCCGGGTGCCGCTGTCTGGAGCTCGACTGCTGGAAGGGCAAACCTCCGGATGAAGAGCCAATCATCACCCACGGCTTCACCATGACAACCGAGATCCTCTTCAAGGTCAGTTCCTCCAATCAGAGCTCTCTCGCTTAGTCTCGCTGTGATTATGGGATGCGCAGTGGAGGCTCATTATACTCAGCCAAGCTACATTTGACAGAAATCAAGACAGGTCAACTTCAGCTTTACAGCAGATTATTAATCGCTTTGATTTACTGAATCAAAACATATGTGACCCGGCACCACAAAACCAGTCATAAGGGTAAATGTAGCGCCCTTTAGCATACTTTTAAAAAGAGTATTTATTATGGAAATAACATACTTTAAAGGAATATACTTAAGTGCACAATGAGTGCAGTGTTTTCGGGCGTTTAATTTACATGTTAGTTGCAATAAAAAGTAGTTAAAATTTTTGATTAAAATGAAATAAAATAAAATGGTTACCAGTTACATGAACTAACATAAACCGGTAACACTTTACAGTAGGCTTCCATTTGTTAACATTAGTTAACTATATTAGTTAACATCAACTAACAGTGAAAAATACTTCAAAGCACTTATTTATCTTAGCTATTTTTCATTTGAACATTTATTAAAACATTAAAATCAAAAGCATTAAATAACATAATGATTTAAAATGTACTTTAAAATAAAAAAAAATTATTTGACATATTACAAATCATTTTAAGTGTGGTTTTTAAAAGTATACTTAAGTTGTGTCTCTTTTGTAGTCACTTAACTGGCCTTTTATTTCATCTACAATGTTTTTTTAAATATACTTTTAAGATTTGAAGTACACTCCAAGTGCACATTAAATATGATTTAGCACACTTCTTTTTCACAAGGATGAGGAAGGAAATTTCATTAAAATGTTCTTACTTCATGATTATGACTTTAGGATGTGATTGAAGCGATTGCTGAGAGTGCCTTCAAAACGTCCAAGTATCCTGTTGTCCTTTCGTTTGAGAACCACGTCGATACGTAAGACACTTTTTGCTCCCCGTGCTGCAGATTTGATGCTGTGATATTTCTGATATGATATAAATGAGATCACGTGTATGTTTCAGAGTGAAGCAGCAGGAGAAGATGGCCTACTACTGCAGGACGATCTTCGGAGACGCTCTGCTCGTTGACGTACTGGACAAATATCCCGTGAGTTCAGATGTGGGGACGGTTTTGTTGGATTCAAACACTTGTGAAATATACAGTATATCTACACTGGCACAAGTATTATTTTAACGTCATTCAGCAAATATACAGAGAGTTGAAATACATTTAGAATGTTGACGTTATATTCCACCGAATACTATTTTAAAAAGCATTTTGCCGATTCTGTTATATGAGCCTGAATTAATTGAGAGACAACACAGAACATTTGAAAAATATTGAATCATTAAAAATTTAATTTGTCACACCACAGGACTATTTGAAATTGAGTAGTGAAGATAAAAATGTGATTTAAAATAAAAAATGATGGCCAGTTACTTTTCATGAAGGTTCTATTTGCTAACTATAATAGTTAGCATGAACTACAAATATAAAAAATTTAAAAAATTCTAAAGTATTGACAAGTGGAGCCAAAAATGTGATTAAAAATGATAAATAAAATAAAGGGGAAACAGTTGCTCAAACTTTTATCGACAATTTACATTAAGGTTCTGTTTGTTAACATTAGATCAGTTAACTATATTAACTAACAATAAAAAATACTTAAACGGTGATCAGTTGCATTAACTAAAACTAAAATGTATTTAAAGATACATTTAAAGATCCATTAGTTAACGACATTAGTTAGTATGAACTAATAATAAAAAACATTTATAACGCATTTAAAATGGACTAGTGGAGAAGAAAATGTGAACAAAAATGATCAATTAAATCAAATACGATAATAAAATAAAATATAAAATACAATAAAAGGTGACCAGTTACATAAAATAAAGCAAAATAAACCAGTAACACTTTACAGTGAGGTTCAATTTGTTAACATTAGTTAACTATATTAGTTAACATGAACTGTCAATGGATGATGCTTATAAAGCATTCATTAATCTTCGTTAATTTTCAACAGACCTGAGCTAACAATGAATGGTTGTGCTTTTATTAATTAACGTTAACAAAGATTAATAAATACTGTAAGTTAATTTGAATGCATTAGCGAACATTAACTAATGGGACTTACCATTGGTGTTACCAATAAACTATTATAAAACGGAGAGTTCCGGTCCTTGATTCTGATTGGTTGAGCCGCGTTCAAAGCTGTTGTTAATTACTCTACAAAGTAACATACACCTTTGTTTACGTTTGTGTGTTGCTCGGCAACCACTTTGTTACAACAACAACTGATTCTGAGGAGCTACATTGTTTGGTGGAAGAATACTGTTTTTATATCATTACACTTTATTTGCTCTGAAACCTTACTACGTATATGGAATAACCGTTTTATAAAAGCAATAAGCCCTGTGAAGCCGTGGTTTACAGTGAATTTATAACAGCTAAAGGGGTTTTAGTCACTCCGCTTCGCGTCGTACCTAACAACGCCCCCCAGGCTGTTATAAATTCACTGTAAACCATGGCTTCACGGGGCTTAGCTTTAATATTGCACGCTGTTAGTAGTGATTCTGTTTAACATCTCATCTAATCTTCTGTGGTTTGTTTTTCAGCTGAAGCCGGGTCATCCGGTGCCGAGCCCGTCTGAGCTGATGGGTAAAATACTGATCAAGAATAAGAAAAGCAGCGCACCTGCCAGCAAACCAGAACAGGCCAAGAAAGCGTCTGGTCCAGAGCAAGCAAACGCATCTGCGGACGACTCTGAGTCCAACCAGCCGGCCGATCCAAACCAACCCGCTCCCGATAACCCAGAGGCCAGCGACCCGCCGCATGCAACCGGTCAGTTCATCCATTAACCAGTCCTCAAACTAGTTTGCCGTGTCAGTGGACTGTTTCCAGTGTTCGAACTATACCGTGGACTTTGGGGGAGCCCACTTGTTTTTTCAGGGGAGCCCATGTCTTATTAAGGGGAGCCGAGCTCCCCCTAGCTCCCCCCTAGTTCGCACCCTGACTGTTTCTATGAAGCGTCCAAATACTTTTAGTGCTTGCTGTGTTTGTGAAGATGCTTCGACGGGCCACCAAAAAAAAAATAACAGTATTTTGTGTCTAACCGCTCCAGATGAGCGTGAAGAGCATGATGACCACGATGAACAGGACGAAGAGAAGATGAAGAACTCTGATGAGGTGAAGTAGATGCTGTATACTCGTAACTTCTGGCCTCTTTTGAGGAACATAATTGTAAGATTGAAGAAATGCACATTTTAAAACCTAAAGAAGTCACCAAGGCTGCATATATTTGACCAAAATAAAAACAGTAAAAATTGTGAAATATTATTACAGTTTAAAATAACCATTTTGTATTGTAATATCTGTTAAACTGTAATTTATTTCTGTGATCAAAGTTGTATTTTCAGCATCATTACTCCAGTCTTCAGTGTCACATGATCTTCAGAAATCATTCTAATATTCTGATTTGCTGCTCAAGAAACATTTCTGATTATTATCATTAATTGAAAACATTTTACATTGATACATTTTATTTTTCAAGATTCTCTGATTAATTGAAAATTTAAAAGAACAGCAATTATTTCGTCTTTTATTATGCAAATTATGATATGGTATAATACTGTACAATATATAGTACAATATAATCTTGTATAATATAATACATTATACTGCCACTTTTTGATCATTTTAATGCATCCTTGCTGAATAAAATTATTAATTTCTTTCAAAAAAAAACAACCTGTTTTTGAAGAGTAGTTTATGCTGCAGTGAAACTAATGTAGTAAAGACACTCCAATTTGCTTTTTATAAGTAATTGTTTGCTACATGTACAATGACTTCTCTTTTTTTAATCAACATCTAATGCATCTGCATTATTTGTCATTTCCTCTCAGGGAACCGCTGGACAGGAAGTGACAGCATACGAGGAGATGTCCGCTCTGGTCAATTACGTACAGCCCAACAAATTCATCTCTTTTGAGAACGCAGCCAGTGAGTTCACGCTCATATGTGTGCGATGAATACATAATACATGAATCTCTGAAACCTTCTCTTAGACCATATTACACAATAAATATAATTACCTTTTTGGGGGGCAAATGATTCCCCTATGAGCTATAAATATGCAAAATCAAATGTATAAACCAAAAAAATGTAGTGGAATTATTTAAATTTTACCCTAGTAACACTTTCCAATAATTTCGTTGTTTACATTTGTAATTACATTAGCTAACATGAACTACAATTAGCAATATATTTTATGAATATTTGTTGATGTTAGTTAAAAATATGATTCTTCATTGTTCATGTTAGCTGACAGTGCATTAATTGATGCTAACATACAACATTGGATTTTTATTTATATTTTTATATGACTTTATTGATTTTTACATTTACCAGTTCAAGCGTTCAAGAATTAGTTCAGGCTTTAAGGGCTGCAGATTTCAGTCAAAATAAAAGTTTGATGGTTCAATGTTTGAAAATGAAGAAATTAAATAAAAAAGCATTTTTTTCAAGTAATGTAAATAATAATTATTATATTATTTTTCTTAAATGCTCATTTTTATAATACAGTGTAATATTGCGATTGTTTGTATTTATTTTTTATATTTTTATAGTGAATAATTACAATAATAATATTTATTATTATTAATATTTAATTTACTATTATTAATAATATTTATTTAGTATATATATATATATATAAAATTTTACTTTTATTATAAGAGATGAAAATGTGCTGCATAGTAGGACTGGATCTGTTGTTTTTGCCTTCTGTCCCATGATGCTTGTACGATGCTGACAAATCTCTAAACTTGTAAAAAAGTGTTTCATACTGACTTGTTTTCACCATCTGATTCTGTCCAAATTAAGTAATGTAAATAATAATTATTATATTATTTTTCTTAAATGCTCATTTTTATAATACAGTGTAATATTGCGATTGTTTGTATTTATTTTTTATATTGTTATTTAATAATAATAATTCACCCAGAAAGAATAAAATCTAAATGAAAGTTTGATGGTTTAATGATTAAAATAAATACATTAAGACAGCCACATCTATTGATATTGTAATTTTAAAGTAAAATAAAATTATTATTATTATTATTATTATTATTTATTTATTTATTTTTTTGCTTTTATTATAAGACATGAAAATGTGCAGCATCGTGGGACTGGATCTGTTGTTTTTGCCTTCTGTCCCATGATGCTTGTACGATGCTGACAAATCTCTAAACTTGTAAAAAAGTGTTTCATACTGACTTGTTTTCACCATCTGATTCTGTCCAAATTTAGAAAAAAACAAGAGTTTTGTCATCTCTTCCTTCGTGGAAACCAAAGGAGAGAGTCTGATCGCTAAGAACGCTGTGGACTGGGTCGAGTATCCTTTACTTCTGACATGTCCTCTCAGTTAGATTCAGACTCAGTGTTTTCTGGTGTTTGGATGTCAGTGCTTTCCTAAACTGATGACTGTAGATATAATAAGAGGCAGATGAGTCGTATCTACCCTAAAGGAACCCGTGTGGACTCTTCAAACTACAGTCCGCAGCCCTTCTGGACCGCCGGCTGCCAGTTTGTGGCGCTCAACTACCAGACTATGGGTGAGACGAGTCAAATCACAGCCAACATTGGCAGTTTATATGACCCTGGAGCACAAAAGCAGTCTTAAGTCGCTGGGGTATATTTGTAGCAATAGCCAACAATACATTGTATGGGTCAAAATTATACATTTTTCTTTTATGTCAAAAATCATTAGGATATTAAGTAAAGATCATGTTCCATGAAGATATTTTGTAAATTTCCTACCGTAAATATATAAAAACTTAATTTTTGATTAGTAATATGCATTGCTAAGAACTTCATTTGAACAACTTTAAAGATGATTTTCTCAATATTTTGATTTTTTTGCACCCTCAGATTCCAGATTTTCAAATATTGTCCTATCCTAACAAACCATACATCAATGGAAAGCTTATTTATTCAGCTTTTAGGTTATGTATAAATCTCAATTTCGAAAAATGGACGCTTATGACTGGTTTTGTGCTCCAGGGTCACGTTTGTTCTTGTAAAAATGGGCAAGAATGTCATTACATTAGCACAGGGTTTCCCAAAACTGGGGTTCTTGAGTTGATGAAAAGTAATATTTACTCATATGTAACTTTAATATAGCTAATATTTATTTAAATCATAAAAATGTAGAATAACAATAATTCATAAAAAAAATATATATATATTTAAAATAACTCCCACAAATTTTCCTTAAATATATACATGCATGGGTGTATATTTATATATACATAATAAATATACACAGTACATACACATATACTATGTGAACAAATTTTTTTATTTTGGATGCGATTAATCGCGATTAATTGTTTGAAAGCACTAATATATATATATATATATTATTTTATTAGCTTTATAATTTGTTAGTAAGCTTTAATGGTTCCCTGCATTTATTTAATTTTTTTGTCAAAATAAAAGTTTGGTGGTTTAATGTTTGAAATTAGAAGTATTGTAGTTTTACAATATGCAATGTAAAATAAAATGATGATTATTATTATTATTTTCTTCAATACTTGATTTTTTGTTTTACAGTGAAATATTAAAGTTGTAATAAAAGGTACACAAAAATGTAAAATTAAAAAGAAAAAAAATAATATAAATAATAATTTAAAATAAAAGTAATGGAATTTAATTTATTTTCATAAATATTAGCTTTTTTATTTAACAATCGTAATAAAGCAGCAATACAATATATATATATAGTTTAATTTATCTTAATAATTTATACACATATTAAGAACATACATTTCCAATTCATTATGTGCAGTCTTTTTGCTATCAGTGAATTTTGCTCTCCTCTTTCTTGACTTGTAAATGTAAATGTGAGTGTGAACTGTATCCTGTGTTCAGATTTACTCCGGTCAGTTCCTGTCGGATAAGCACGTGAAAACCGGAGTGGAGGTCGAGCTCATCGGTTTGCCCAAAGACCCCAAACGCAAATACCGCACCAAAATGAGCACGACGGCCAACGCCATCAACCCCGAGTGGAACGAGGAGCCTTTCGTCTTCGAGAAGGTCAGATCCCACGGCTCTCGTATCATTCATGACTCAGGTGTGTTTGAGCTGCTCCGAGGCTGACGTCTGTGTGATGTTGAGCAGATCTTGCTGCCGGAGATGGCTTACCTCAGACTCGTGGTTCAGGAGGAGGGCGGCAAGTTCTTGGGTCACCGAATCATCCCTCTGGACGCTCTGCAGACAGGTGAGACCAGCACTTTGATGCATTCTGAGAGCTCTCTGACCCTCCCATAGACAGCAATGTAATTACCACGATCAATGTACAGAAACGTAGCAAGGAGATGGGTAAAATAATCCATGTGACATCAGGGGCTCAACCGTAATTTTACGAAGCTACGAGAATACTTTTTGTGCACAAAAGAAAAAAAAACCCACTTTATTCAACAATTCGTCAATATTTTACCAATGTCCTTGCTACGTTTCTGTACATTGATCGTGTTAATTACATTGCTGTCTATGGGAGGGTCAGAGAGCTCTCAGAATGCATCAAAAATATCTTAATTTGTGTTCAGAAGATGAACGAAGGTCTTACGGGTTTGGAACGACATGAGGGTGAGTAATCAATGACAGACTTTTCATTTTTGGGTGAACTATCCCTTTAATTAAAAAAAAAATGGACCCTTATGACGGGTTTTGTGGTCCAGGGTCACACATGAGGATTTTTTGGTAGAACAAAACAGGTTTGTCAAATGCTGTGATGGTTTGCAGGTTTCCAGCACATCTGTCTGCGCAGCGAGGGCAACATGCCGCTCACACTGCCATCTCTGTTCGTTCACATCGAGGTGAAGGACTACATCCCCGCTGCATTCGCCGGTACTGACCTATAAACCTACTGTAACATGCTTTCATTGAACGCAACATCAAATAACCTCTCGATGATTGTGTTTCTGCTAGATTTCTCAGATGCACTTTTCAATCCTGTGAAGACTTCAAAGCCACCGAAGACTGAGGTAGAGTTAAATGCACAGATAGTAATAGATGTAACAACCAGGATTATTATAGTTAACTAAAACTAAAACCATAAAAGTCAACTGAAACAAAATACAGAAAACTTATTTTATTTTAGCTTGATGCCAAGGCAACATTTCTTATTTCATGTAGTTTAACTTGATGTACTAAAATAATAAAAAACTAAATAAAATGAATAAAAACTATATAGACATTTAAAGAAAATAAAAACTAATAAAACACACTACAAAATTACTAAAAATGTAATAAAATTTAAAGTGAGAACAGAAAATATGAAATAAAAACGAATTCAAAATAATAGTATAAGAAGATCTCAAGGATACCAAAATAGCCACAGTTATTATAGTTAGCTAAAATTAAAATAAACTTTTAAATAAACATTAGCTGAAATAAAATAAAATATGAAAAACTTAAAAGTATTTTATGTCAGCTAGTTGCCAAGGCAACATTTCTCATTTATATTTATTTTAAGTTAAAAATAACTAAAATGGAAATGGAAATGTATAAAAAATTATGTAGACATTTAAAAATAATTAATACCAATGATAAAAACATACAAAAAAATACTAAAACTAAAATATAAAAATAAAAACTAATTTAAAGTAATAAGAACTATAATAAAATCTTATGATACTAAAATAACACTGATGACAACCAGGGTTATTATAGTTAAAAACTTATTTTATTTTAAATAGTTGCAGCATTTCAAATTTTCTTTTAGTTTAACTTTATAAAATATTAAAACAACTAAAACTAAAAATGAATAAATTATGTAAAAATAAAAATCATAATTATAAAATTATAAAATATCAGCAGCAGCTGGATGCAATAATCGCATGCCAATGTGCATTGGCTCGTTTAGTTTACACTCGAAGTGGATTGGTCTCTCTAAGCGAGATCCCAATTTCGTCGGTCATCCGACGTGACGTCGAGAGTGACCGACTGAAAGGGAACACAAATTACTTAAACTTTATCAAAAAAGAAAATAAAAAAGCAATAATAATAAACTATATTAATTGTACCTCAATGATATTAAAATAATACTGATAACAACCTCTAAACTGCATAATTGACTCTTAACTGAGATACCTTTAACTTGATTTCCTTCATAACTGTGCTGGTTTTTATATCTCTTGTAATAATTCAAATCTAATATGAACATGGATGAACTTATTTGTTAAGTAGCCATGTAAAAAGTGTGATAGTGTACAATCATTCAGTCGTTACTGAAAAATGAACACAGTTGTCCTGTGCTTATTGTCAGGCTCCTGATCACTCTGTCTGTCTCTGCATTGTCTCTTGCTTAACAAATGTAATCTTCAGCTTTTATAAATGCTAAAAGATGAAAAAGCAGGTCTCACACAGATCTCACTGTATTGTCGTCTTCAGAGTTTAACATACGTGTGTGAATATGAGTTACCTCTCACTGACGGAGCCCAGACACCTGCCGCAGGTAAATAACACACACTTACAGAAACACTGACATGCTGTGTTTTCTAACAAATCCATCATAGTACTCTATGAAATACCTGACTCTACTAATAAATATAAACTAATTATCAATTTGAATGGACTCATGTGAGTGGGTGAGAACATAACTTTTAATAATAATAAAAAAATATATATTAATTTAATATATATATATATATATAATAAATATTTTATGAATCTAAATATTTTAATTTGTTTTAAATTTAATGTTAGTAATTTTTTGTTTGTTTTTTGTCAGTTTTAGTATTTTTTTTATATCTTCGTATTTTTTATTATTATTATTTTTTTTTTTTTTTTATATTTTAAATTAGTTTTAATTTTATATGTGCACTTTTCAGTTTTAGTTTTTAATAATTTTATCTGATATTGCCATTTTTATTTTTAGAACTTTTATGTGCTTTTGTCATTATTATTATTATTTTTTTATTTTTTTATTTTAATTGAGCTAAATAACAACACTATTGTTTTCTGTAGAACTACACCTAAAACTAAAGACTTTCAAATTTGTTGAATTGGTTTCATAATTGATGCATTTTACTCCATTAACAATTTGACTGCTTTAAAAAAATCTGAGTTATATAAAGCACTATATAAAAAAAAGTGACTTATAAATTATATATGAATTTGGTACCAAACATATTAAAGTATCATGGTAATTGTATCTGATACCATTACTGTACTGATTTGTCATATTTATTGAAGTGAAATGGATGATAATTTATGCTTGTCTATCTGTCTATGACTCTCATATAATAAGAACTGAAGGCCGCAGAAGAAGCTCCAGCATCATCAGAGGCTGAAGCTGCAGTGACTCCAGCAGAGGGCGACGCTGCACCTCCGGCAGAACAGACTCCAGCGCCAGAACCTGAACCTGAGCCCAAACCAGAGGAAAAACCAGAACCAGAGCCCAAACCAGAGGAAAAACCAGAGCCAGAACCCAAACCAGAGGAAGAACCAGAGCCAGAACCCAAACCAGAGGAAAAACCAGAACCAGAACCCAAACCAGAGGAAGAACCAGAGCCAGAACCCAAACCAGAGGAAAAACCAGAACCAGAACCCAAACCAGAGGAAAAACCAGAACCTGAACCCAAACCAGAGGAAAAACCAGAACCTGAGCCCAAACCAGAGGAAAAACCAGAGCCAGAACCCGAACCCAAACCAGAGGAGAAAACAGAACCAGACCCTGAACCAAAATCAGAAGAAAACCCAGAAGTTGCTGCAGATGCAGATGCTGTCGTCACGGAGACCAAAGAATCCAGTGAGGAAACCCCATCTGATCCATCAGGTGACCTGCGTCTGTCACATGATACATTGTAACGTCATCACACTGACTCACTAAGTTAGTTGTTACATTAGTTTGAATAGTTACCACCAAAATACAGCCATCACTACAACTCATCCACAACTATCATCAAAACATTACAAAATATTAATTTCAATATAAATTGTAGCCTAGTTTTATAATAGTAAAAAATTACTTCCTTTTAAAATTTGTAGTATTTCTAGTCCTTTAAGAAAATTGCTTTATTCTGTTAATACTCTTAAAAAGGTTTAAAAAAAGTAATTTATACTTTTTAACAATTTATTTTTTAAATACACATAATTACACACACACACATGTACAGTATGTGTGTGTGTGTGTGTGTGTGTATATATATATATATATATATATAT